AGTCAATTTTTCTAGATTCACATGACCATATTTCTACAGACTTTGTTCTTGATTATTCTTTGATTTTTTTTTTTTTTTTTTTTTTTTTTTTTTTTTAAGCAAATTTTGGATTCGAAATACTGCATTACTTACCTTTTAGGTCTCTGTCACATGTCTTGTTTTATTTGCCTCCATTCTAAAATCTGGAATGCTCTGAAACCAGAGTGATAGAAGCTGATAATTATTTCACTACTATGTGAATAAATTCATGTTGAGAGAAAGAAAATCTTTCCCATCAAAACAAATTTTTGTCTCTCTCCTCACCCTCTGCATCTATTAGCTGATTTGACTTGAATATCATCTCAATATAAATTCAAATATATTGGCAGGAGTAGTATTTTTTTCCCCCTTTTGGAGATAAATGACTACAGATGAAATAAATTATCTTGTATTATCTGTAAGCCACATTTATTTTTGACATTAAATGTTTTTCTTAATTACTGCTGTTTTAATTTAATTTATTTTAATTTTATTTTATTTATTTATTTATTTATTTTTATTTTATTTATTTATTTTTATTTTATTTATTTATTTTTATTTTATTTATTTATTTTTTTTTTTAATCAATTCACCCCAAGCAAGGTCATGATGCCACTAAAACACAAGGAATACTGGGAGTGAAAGAGAATGAAAGACTTTAAGATTACTTTTCCAGTTTCTTCTAAACAGGAAATGGGATAAACTCTTTTTCATATGACTGTGGAGGAGTGTGAACTGGATGATAGGAGAATCTATCTTCTCTTATTGAGGAAAAAAATGAATAATAAATAAAATTTCAGAGTTTAATTTGAGCTATTAGAAAGAACAGAAAACAAATAAATCTTGAACCCATCTACTCTTGAATTGTAAAGTAGGTTTTAATGTAACTAAACGGACTGTTTTGTTCAGAGTTTAAATACCTACTCATAGTTTTTTAAGAAATCATTTTTTAGGGCACATTCTTGTGTATTTTGTTTGCAAGGGGTTATTCTATGACAACTGAAAGTAATGCCTCCTACTTTAATACATTGACTCTTTGCTGACACAAGCAAATGTTGGTGGTATGGCAACAGAAATTGAATCATTACATGAATAATCATATTTTTTTTTCCTTGTTGCAGGTAGCAACTGAGCAGTAGTCTGGCAAAATAGCATTTGACATAAAATTTTCCATGAAGCAGAAATTTCATTGGATTCTTTCATGTAGGAAAAAAATACAATACTCATCGATGTTTGCTGAATGTTTTCAGAAACGAAACAGTAGATGTGAGCACAGTTAGACAGTGGGTTATCTGTTTCAGAAGTGATGACAGTGATGTGTGAGGCAAAGCACATTTAGGAGAGTTGTTGAAAATTAATATCCAGTACTGATAATTATAGCCGGGGGTTTGGTGGAATTGTTTCGTAACTGACAACTTGTTTTATTTGCTATTGTTACTCTGCTCCCCTTATTTGTAATAGACTTTTTAGAAATGAGTAGGAGGCATTAGTTTTGGAACATATCTTAATCAGTATTTGAATGAGAAAATGTCAGTAATATATTTTTCTTCCAGTTGTAATTAGAAACTTATTAACATGTAAAGAGAAGAAACTCTTTTTGAAGAAGAAAAAAGAAACTTTAATATTTGACTGACAAACAGGAAATAACTAGATTTGCTTTTGGCTCTCCAGGTCTGAGAATGGGAGACAAACCCAGAAGAACTTACTGCCAACAAGATGTTACTGTAATTCCATTTATCCATTTAGTATTGCTTAATGCTTACATGAAAGTCTGTTAGCCTTTTGGCCTTATAAGGCAATGGCTTAAAGGATTGTTGTTTGTTTTTTTTTTTTGTTTTTTTTCTTTTTTTCGCCATTTATTCCAGTGATGTAAACCTGGAAATAATTGTTAACTTAACCAAATGAGATGTAACATCTCTTCTCTGAATTTGTCTCACAGTGGATTAAAGCCTTGGTTAATGAATTTGGTGACATAGTAATTATGAGTTCAATCCCTGAGCTGGGTAGTACAGACTTAACTGGAATAACTGTGTATTATCCGGTTCACACTTTTCCCCTGTCTTGAATAGGAGAAAATGTTTATCTCTTGTTCCCTGCTTGAGATTGGGTTTCCAGTTCCTTCTAAAGTTTTCTCCTTCTCTTTCACTCACTTGCATCTTGGTGGCATTATCACCTTGTGTGGGGTGAATTGATTAACAAAGAAAAAAATACTAAATAAGAACTAGACAAAATATTCCTTGACACAGTAGAATGAGAACAATCTATCCCTGTAGATTAAATAAAGGATTCTATTAAAAATTTCCTGAAGGTTACTTAAATCAACAAGCATCTAAAGATGGCTGGAGAGCTCAGTGGCTGAAACATTGTGAATAACAAAGATGAGGACAATAATCTGAGTGTAAATAATTCATTTTTTTTCTCTATTATTTCCATGTCGTTGTGAGAGATGAATTTTTATTTCATAAAATCTTTTTTTACATACTCTGACGAATCATAAGACTCATTTCGATAACACCCTGCTCCTTAGATCTTTCATTATCTAATTGTGTATAAATTGTATTGAAAATATGCATTTGCAAAGGCACATAATGGTAATCAATTCTGGTGATAATTATATTTTTTTTTTTTTTTTTTTGAGCTGATGAGGTGAGAGAAGCTGGGAATAAAACTATTGAACTTTAGGTGGTTTGGGTTTGGCCTTCTCTAAAAAGCTAGTAATGGATTAAAGACATTTGTGATGTAATTTTGACATCCTCTTTTGATTACCTGCATTTTAATTAGCCTATTTATAGTATTTGCATGTGGGATTGACTAGCAGACATAGTCATGCATTTCAAATCCCTCATTGACATGGTACCAAGGCAAATATCACCTTGCATGTTATGGAATTGGAGGTAGTGTTTTTTTTTTTTTTGTTTTTTTTTTGTATATTTTCACAGTATTGTTGACTAGTTGTTTTAATCTTACATGCTTTCTGTATGTGCTCTTTGCTTTTTTTTTTCTCCCTCTCTCCTCTACCCTCTGTGTGTCCATCTGTCTCTTCTCCCTCCACCACCCTCTGTATGTTCGTGTGTGTGTGTGTCTGCCTCCTCTCTCTCTCTCTTTTTGCCACCCTCAGTGTGTACATTTGCTTCTTCTCTCTCTTCCCCACCCTCTGTGTATGTCTCTTCACTCTCTCTCTTCCCCACCCTCTCTGTCTACATTTTCACTCTCTCCCTCTTCCCCACCCTCTGTCTGTCTACCTTTTCACTCTCTCCCTCTTCCTCACCCTCTGTCTGTCTACCTTTTCACTCTCTCTCTCTTCCTCACCCTCTGTCTGTCTACCTTTTCACTCTCTCCCTCTGTCTGTCTACCTTTTCACTCTCTCCCTCTGTCTGTCTACCTTTTCACTCCCTCCCTCTGTCTGTCTACCTTTTCACTCTCTCTCTCTTTCTCACCCTCTGTCTGTCTACCTTTTCACTCTCTCCCTCTGTCTACCTTTTCACTCTCTCTCTCTTCCTCACCCTCTGCTGTCTACCTTTTCACTCTCTCCCTCTTCCTCACTCTCTGTCTGTCTACCTTTTCACTCTCTCCCTCTGTCTCCTCTTCCTCTCCCCTCTGTCTACCTTTTCACTCTCTCTCTCTCTCTTTCTCCCCTCTGTCTGTCTACCTTTTCCTCTCTCCCTCTGTCTGTCTACCTTTTCACTCTCTCCCCTCTGTCTACCTTTTCTCTCCCCTCTGTCTGTCTACCTTTTCACTCTCTCCCTCTGTCTGTCTACCTTTTCACTCTCTCCCTCTGTCTGTCTACCTTTTCACTCTCTCCCTCTGTCTACCTTTTCACTCTCTCTCTCTTCCTCACCCTCTTTCTGTCTACCTTTTCACTCTTTCTCTCTCTTCCTCACCCTCTGTCTGTCTACCTTTTCCTCTCTCTCTCTCTCTTCCTCACCCTCTGTCTGTCTACCTTTTCACTCTCTCTCTCTTCCTCACCTCTCTGTCTGTCTACCTTTTCACTCTCTCTCTCTCTCTCTTCCTCACCCTCTGTCTGTCTACCCTTTCACTCTCTCTCTCTCTCTTCCTCATGCTGTCTGTGTGTATGTATCTCTTCTCTCTTTCCTACACCGTGTGTGTATGTGTGTGCATCTCTTCTCTCTTTCCCACACCATGTATGTGCACATGTGCCTCTTCTCTCTTTCCCATACCGTGTGTGTGTACGCCTCCTCTCTTTCCCACACTCTGTATGTAAGAGAGATGCACTCCCACTCTCTCTCTCTCTCTTACCACCTCCTGTAAAACATTATATATTTTTAATGATTGACAAGCTAATATTCAATACACATACTCTGATCTCTGATCATGCCAATGCCCTAATATTTAAAAAGTAAACCTTTTCCTTGTTATTTAAGTGTTAATTTTTAGCAAGAATGTATTTGTTTTTGTTTTTTCTTTAGATAGTGTTTTTGGGATTGAAGTAAATGAAATGAACATTTTTCGTTATAATATTAAAAAGTCCTCTTCTTGACAGTTGGTACAAAAATAATTGTATGTTTTTTTTCTTTTCATTTTCCCATCAAATACCTCAACTAAGAGCAAAATTTCTTAAAAAAAAAAAAAAAAAGCATTAGAATCTACACATTGTTGCCAACTATAAACAAGTCAATTTATTCTTGTAGCACAGAATTCTGGAGTCATGCAACAGATGAATTCTCTAAGGCATCTTTAATCTGCTGCTAGATTGTTGGAAACCATTCCTTGCAGAAATTTTTGAGATGTTTAAAAAAAAATGGTATCTGGTCAGAAAGAGATCTGATGCATAAACTGGCTGAGGTAATTTCATGGACTACTTCAGTTTCTGTAGAGCGATTGGGCCTTGCAGTTTTTGGTATGTTTTGTCAGTTTCCTGGCAATATGTCTGTGTTGTGTTGGTTTTGCCAAGATTCTAATAGTTTCTGCTTGCCAACCACCAAATGGTGACCACGACTTTCTTTTGATTCAGGCTTATGTCTACATCAGACTGAAAAACACTGATTCCTGTATGATCACTGAAGCTAAGCAACAATGAGCCTGGTCAGTACCTAGATGGGTAACTGCTTTGGAAAACCAGGTGCTGTAAGCTTCAATGTGTGGGTGGTATAATAGGTGATTGTTCAGAATTGTTAGAGCCAAGTTCCAATTCTTGTTGGTTTCGTTATATTCACTTAAGGACAAATAATCTTGAGAAAGATATAAATCCATCTCTTCTTCCCCCAGCTATACATTAATTAGTAAGACTTGTCACTAAATCATTATCTCCAAAAAAAATGTTTTTACAGTCTAAAAATATTTTCTGGTTTTAAATAACCTGCAAAGGTTGATAAGCTGTAAAAAATAAATTAATCATTTTTTTTTATTTTTTTTATATTCTGCCACTGCTCAGGATGCTATCAGTTGTTATCCGTGAATCAATTTTTCATCATTTACCATAATGTGACGCCAAAAGAAAAAGAAGTCTTTTTTTTTTCTTCCCCCTGCCTCCTCTGTTTCAAAGGAAAAGAAATGCCAGGAATAGATTTTTAATTTTTGTTCAATTTGTGCAACATTAGTTTGTTAAAATCTTTGGCTTTTCCAGTTTGGTGCAAATATCAAACAACTGTTAAATGGTCAATGTTTGTTTCTGCAGTAGTGTTTTATATTCTCTTTTTTTTTTTTTTTTTTTTCTTTTTTTCTTTTTTTCTCTCCCCTGGGTCAGCTTCAAAAATGGCCCTTGATCCTCATCAAGCAAGAATGCATCTACAACCCACTTCATCTTCAATGTTTTCATTAAAACATTGCTTGAATCCTTGTTGAGTTCCTCTGGACAAATATCTGCTTGATATTGCGGTCAATTTCCGCTGTTTTTATGTCCCATTTTGAACTCCTGCTAAAAAAAAAAAAAAAAAAAAATATTAAAAAAATATTTAAAAAAAAAAAAAAAACACGGGCTGGCAGCGGGTGGGTACCAAAATCCAAGATATTATGAATCCCTGTCTGGAAATTTGGCATTTTTATACATATGTTCTAAAATAAATGTTCAATAGGTTTTATTTTCATGTCCTATATGCCTGGATGAATCCTCCTCTTGCTGCTGGTGTACTTGGGATAAGCCTTTAAGCAAATAAACTAATACTCCAGGTCAGGGGTTATCAAGTAAGTCATCAGTGTCAGTTTGGTTCTGAAATTTCAGTAAGTACTTGGGTACTAAAATGGTTGTACCAAATTTTATTTAAATTACCAGTATATCAATTTCTTGTTACCCACTTTTATTGTTTTGATCAAGTTCTTGGATCAGGCAAGTCACTTCAAAATGTAAATGCCAATATTTTTTTTTTTTTTTTTTATTTTATTTTATTTTTTTTATTTAAAAAAATTAGAGGTACCCTCCGTAATTTTTAATCCCAGTAATTTTCTGTGTGTTTTGTAAGAACCAGAGAAAATGTGATTGTCCCCCAGTATGATGTTCGTTATTGTGTCAACTTTAACCTTTCACCTAATTTGCCTACACCTTTCACAAGGAAAATCTTGTACTTTTTTTTTTTTTTTAAATTTTTAATTGGATTGTTTACATTAAATCCCTTTTTTCTACTTTAACAAACAAAATTGTGGTACAAAAGTGTCACTTACACTCAAAATCTGAAAGAGAAGATGTAATAATTTCTTAGACATATAATAATGAGAGCTTGGAGAATTTAACACTCACAGGGTGTATCGAGGGAAAGACAGACATGAGAAGGTAGCAGGACAGACATGCTTGTGGAAAGGGATGGGAGAAGTTAGGTTCAGGGACAAAAGGTTGATAAAAGCTACAAGGGATAGGAAATTGTGGAGAGCCATGATACGTCCTGAAATGACATGGCATGTAGAAGTAGTACATCTGTACCCAAATATTTTTAATAGAAACCACCACGGTACGAAACATCATCTTGGATTTTGGTGCGACCTTCTTCCTTCACTGTCAAATTGCTTGAATTTGTTGATTTACATATTTGACAGAAGAGAATAGAAGGAAGAGAAAACCATTAGCATAAATCAATAAAAAAAAATTCACACTTTAAAATAAAACAGGAATATAGCTAAATATTCTGTTCCAAAATAAGCCTCAATGTTTAAAATAGCAAATATCACAATTATTTTCTTGCACCAATTTAATAAATTGGATAACAGTTCCTGTATTCTCCCCCTGCTATTTTTTTTTTCTGCAATCAAAATAAATAACGAATAAGACATGACAAATGAAGTCATGATTGTTTATAGTTTTTATGTATGCCAGAGTGTCCTGCCACCCAACAGTCTGTCAGGAGAGCAGGAGGGGCTTTCCTCTTCTCAGGTCCTGCTCTTCCTGTGCCCTCAACAGACACTCACTGTGTTCTTGTCTTTCATAGAGTAACTTTTCTTATCACAGATAAGCATGTTAATCCCAACTCTGCATCTGCTTTTGCTATTAATTCAATGGTTTGGGCCTTTTACAGATATCACTGTTTTCTTTCTTTCTTTCTTACTTTCTTTCTTTCTTTCCATATCGTGATCTATGTGAAACTTTACCATGAGTCTCTGAGCCCAGCATGCTGAGAGCATGTGTGGCTGCAGCTGATAAAGTCAGTTCTCCATTTGCTTAGAAAAATGGGAACCAACTTCTGATAAGGTCAGCTATAGATACATAGATGGCCAGAAAGAGAGAGAGAGAAAGAAATTAGGAAAACTGAAAAAGTGTGTGTGTGTATATATATATATATATATATATATATATATATATAATTTAAAATATTGCTGCCTTCCATAACTTAGTTTCATGCTAACACCCAGTTTGTTGTAACTGCCTGAAGACTGAGACAACCATATAACAAACTGCGAGTCCACATGAAACCTTAAATTATGAAAAAGCAGCAGTATTTGATTATCATTTTTTTTATGTCTTATATTTTCTTTATATTTTACATCAAGCACTGTTTGTATTGGAGCTTCCAGTGTAAATGCCAAGCAGTACAGCATGCCATTTCAAATTTTCTGGCAGAGTGAATTGCATCAGGGTCCTTTTTTTTTTTTTTTTTTTTTCCCTCCACAGACAATGCCCAACTGACCCTGTGCAGTCAATAAAAACAAACAACACACACGCATGAAATTAAAAATATAAAATGGTGACAATTTACCCATTGTACGTTGTGTGTGTGTGTATATATATATATATATATATATATATATATATATATATATAATTAATTTTTTTTTTTTTTTTTATTTTCTTTTTACTTTTTCCTGAATGTGTAACATAAGCATGAAATAAATTACTTGATATTTGTTCTTTGGTCAGAAATGATCTTAACGTTGGCATTCCAACATGAAAGTGATAGCACACATCACCTCTCTAAATATTCTTTGTAGTATTCAAGTGACATGCCCATGATCAAAATGACTGGCTGTCAGGGATGAGTTGGATTCATGCTTAATACACAGGAACATAAATATTAATATTTTACATTTGTAACACAATCTGACACAAGGTCTGTTGTGTGGAAGCATCCAATGAGGATCTCTTTACAGTTGTAATTATCTTCAATGGTTAGCTTGTTAAATCTGTTAAAAGTCCTTCTGAGCAGGATTAACTGGAATTTGAACTCAGATTTCATTTTAAAAGTTGGTAATGCTTAAGCGGCCTGACATGCATAGAAAAATTTTAACGAAACAACACTTGTATTTTCATTGAAGAATTATTTTATTTTATTGTTTTAGTTGTGGTAGGGGTTTAATTGTAGTTTTTCTTTGTTTTTTTTTTTTTTTTTTTTGGGGGGTTTTCTTTTTGTTTTTTCTCTTCGTTTCATTTTGTTTCTCTTCGTTATGTTTCTATTCATTTCATTTCTATTTGTCTCTTTTTTTCTCTCTTTGTTTCGGGGTGGGGGGATTTTTGGCTTGTTTTTTTAACACATCTTGTAAAATGAAGTTATATATGATTTTTTATTTGCTTTATTTTATTTTATTTTTTTAAATGTCAAGTCTCTTCAGGATGTTAGTCAAGATATCCTTAACAGTGTCAGTAGAAAGAGAACCTATCCCCATAGATTAAATTAAAGGTAACCCAAATTGACAAGCATCTTAGAAAACAATGCTCGAAATGTGATAACAAAGATGAAGTCTTTAGTCTGTCTGTAAATAATAATAATAAAAAAATACATCAAATATATTTTGCTACTTCAGTCTAATAGATCTTAACTGTCAGTTTTACATACCAAGCAGGGGTTGGATTGCTTAAAGCAGTGGTTCTCAAATGTGGTCCATATAGACACTTGGAGTCTATGTAACACTGAAGCTCCATGCAAAAAATAGCAAATTGGGGGGGTCCACAGTAATATTTGACTGGTCCATAGAGTAATTAACTTTGGGATGGTTGTTACAACTGTGAACTGGAATTTCTAGAGTAATCTACACCATTAAAATACTAAAAATAGAAAACAACTCTAAAACTAGCAGAAAACAAGATCAAGCGATATAATTTAGCATCCCTTTTACTCTACCAGTTGTTTTCATGTCTAACACTTTCGCCCCAGCTCCTCAACCTCCGACGTCTTACTCTCTGGGTTGAGGTGTCTACTCGGTCCTAGCTGAACTTAAGGGAGTGGTCCGTAGATTATTTGACCAGTCCACTGGTTTAATCCTGCTTCCTGCCCACATTGTGTTTGGTTTGATCCAGAAAGCAGAACTGATGTTCATCCATTCACGGTCGACTAAAGATGTAGACACAACTGGAGAGTCCGCGCTAAAGAATTTAGAATGCAGCAAAAAAAAAAATATTAATATCTGCAGAAAGCCAGACAAACAACTATTCAATGGTTGAATTGTTAATGTCTTTTATATAGCAGTAAAGAATAGTATAGAAAAGAAACGGGTTAAAGAAAAGTAATTGACAAAAAAAATGCATATACTGGATTCTGGATATGATTGTTAAATCATCTCAGAACGATATACGACTCTTGCGATGAGGGAATAAGATTTCTGTGCTCTGCTTAAAGTTTATAGTGGCGTTCCTCCTTAGCGATAGTAACAGTAGTAGTAATATTCGTGGTAGCAGAAGCAGCGGTACTTATATCAACAGAACATGTTAGCGGAC